TTTTTTTTTCAATTCAAATTCAATTCAAAAATACTTTATTGATCCCAGAGGGAAATTAGGCGTTGTTGTAACTCTTTTTTTTTTTCAATTCAAAAAAAGTTTTAGGGTTATTAACAAAGTTTGTGTACTCAGACCAATAATATTTGGGATCAAAAGTTTTTGCCATGGATATTTTGTGGGTCAGAAGATAAAAAGTTTGGGAACCACTGCTGTAATAAAACACTGAAAAGTACTACGTGTACAACTGACTAAATGAGGAATGAATAATACCGAAATACTATTAAAAGTAAAAGTAAGTTTTACTGACATCTGAACTCTCCCATTTTCCTGTGTGTAATCAAAATGCATTATGGGAAATGTAGTTTATAGTCAGTTTTAGCTTTACAGCAGCTTCTTTTGAGACTATGTGCTATCCAACTAAGTTTCTCAGTTACTTAAAGCCGGGGCAGGACAAGTATTATTATCTTTCACATTTTAAATGTATTTATTTTGCTGCATTGAATCATAAATTGAAAGTTTACCATTCATATAAAAACAATTTTCATATTAAGTAAAAAAAAAAGAAAAAGAAAAAACAACTTGGAAGGCCAGACGAGAGCCAAATGTGGCCCGCGGGCCTTGAGTTTGACACGTGTTTTAGAGTATTTAAGTTATCCTTGTCATCTTTTTATCACCCAAGGTGTTTCCTCTGTCTTAGTTTCTGTTTTTGTCATGATTTAATATTAGCATTCATGGTTTGGTGCAGATGTTTGAGCAGAGCTGAACAAAACAGACRATTTTTAAACACAAACTTTTATAAATGTATCTGCAGCTTTCTGCCAATCCCATTAACATTTTCTGTTTAAAGCCCTCGTCTTCATCACTTTCTGTTCCATCATCACATTGTTCGTGATGCTCTGAGCTTTAGCATCATTTATAAATGATTAAACTGGTTTTAGTTGTGGGTTAGTTCCTCATACTGTTTGTGCTGCAGTTGTGGAGCAGCGAGCTCCTCGGACCGTCTTGTCTGCCTAACATCTGACGCTGGGCTTCCCCCATCGTCCCGGCGTCGGCCCTGGCCTTCTTCCAAGCCTGCTGCTGGCTCGATGAGGACTAAAATAGGCGATGTTTGCTGTGATCCAGATCCAGATCTGTCCTTCATCGTTCTGCAGTCCTTTAGATGGGGGTCTCTTCAGATTAGTGTCAGTTAGGTCTAGCAGGCAGCAGGCAAAGAGGAAGAAGTTAAAACTTCTGGAAGCGTCTTCAGGTGAAGATATTTTAGGGTTGAAACTAAAAATTTATTTATTATTCAATTAATTGGTTGATTCTTTTTTTGATTAATCAATGAATCGACCTCTTTATTTCAAAACACATTTGGACTGACYGCAAATCGCACAAAAACGGGTTGCTGTTTGAGTGTTCAGATACTATAATATTAAATAGTAATACTTAAATAAATAAATAAATGTTTGTCAACTATACAAATCTTTGAAAATCTTTTTGTATTTTCTCTCCGTTAGCTTTGTAAAATGTGTCCTTTAGGGAGGAGTGTTGCTGCGKATTGTTACTTTTAGTCAAGACAGCTGCTTGTCGTTGTGACCATGATGTCTTCTTTACATCGATTCAGTTTGATTCGTAAATTCTGAATCAATTAATCACGATTCAATTTGATTAGTTTTGATTTAATCTGCTCTTTAATAATGAAAATGGTTCAACTGTGTTGCAAAATACAAATTCACTTTATTTTTTCTCTTCACCATAAACAACAGGTTTTAAGGTCAAATTTGTAAATTAAACTGTGTAATCTTGAAACCAAACTCAAGTTTTAAAAGTTTTAAACTAAAAAGGAATGGCAGGTTACAGTGTTGTTGAATGCATTCATTTTTAAGAGATTAAGAGTAATTATTTTGATGAATAAGAAGTGATGGAATAAGGTTGCAGGAGAAGGGGTGGGCTAATATAAATATACTTCTGCCCACTCYTTTTGAGCGTATGAAAACTATATTTGTAATGTTTATGTTAGCTTCTGTTCTGTTCAATAAAAATTATTAAAACAAAAAAGAAGAAATAATACAACAACAACATTTCATCACTGTGGATTTCATCAAGACTTTTCTAAAGTTTAAACATAATATTGATAACAAACTAAACCATTTTGTTAAATTGTCGTCTTAACACTTTTATTAGTTTTGGTTCGAGCACCTGAACGAGCCGATTGAAGCCTTCGTTTTTGCTACTGCGTACGAGCGTGAATCTTTACAAAAAGTCACCATGTTCTCTGTTGTCTTTAAGTTCTGCTGAGTCAGCTGTAATGTTAGTGATTCCTTAGTTTATTTTGACAACTTGTTGTCAGAAGCTAACGTTAGCACTGAACCTCAACTGGATGTAAACATACGGCAAGCCAGGAGTGACACAAAACRCAGAAATACGCCTCGGCTTCATCACACACAGGAAGCCATGGAGAAAAACCCATCTGTGGATCGATTTTTCAAAATTTAAATGAAATCCATCAGATTTTACCCAGTCCTGTTGATAATGGTGAGTRATACAACAAATCRATAATGGAATTCGTTGCCACCACTTTCAGTAATCGATCTATAGATTTTATTGATTGGTTGTCGCAGCCCTGGGCTATCAAAAGTTCACCCACTTGTTTATTTGTTTTCCTCGTCTTCAGCTGGTCAGGAGGAATGTGCTGTGAGCTATTTTTACACGTTGAACTTGACCCCTCAGAGGGACCCCGACGCTCTAATTCACACCCTCTTTGATGTGGCCTGTGGTCCTGAAAACGACAGGAACTTCACGCAGGATAAGCCGACACCGGCTCAGATAGCAGCGTTACGTCACCCTTAAATCATGGATGAAGCTGCAACTGTCGAGGCTTTTGAGAACAGCAAAATACTCGCACACCTGCACACTCTGGAACACAAACCACACCTGGATTTACACAAAAAAAAGCACCAACGTGATGCAATTATCCTGTTTCTGGCTTTAGTTCTGCTCAAACCAGAGTTGGTTTTTGCTCATCAGGATCAAGTTAATTTCTATAAAAGACCCGTTAMTGTCTCATTTTAGTGTTGCAAACTCTTTCATCGAGCTGTTTTTAATAATCCYGTCTTTCCTCGTCACCTCCGCTTCTCCTGTCTTTGTCGAGACGTTTGAGATGAAAGTTGTTSAGCAGCTGTGGGTGGGATTCCCCCTCCAGGATGTGAGGATTATAAATGCTGTAATGACTTGAAGTGAGATGAATATCAAGTTCAGACACCTGTTGAAGAATTTTAAAGACCTTTTCTTTTTGAGGCCGTCTCAGTTTTTCATCCCCAGCTCGTTATAAAATCATTATTGTTCCGTTATACGGTTTCAGGKGGTTTAATTAGTTGTTTTGTGTTTTGCAGGATGCCAGTTATTGGCTGCAGGTGCACCGGTTGGAGCACAGCGACGGCGGAATCCTTGACCTGGACGATGTTCTCTGCGACGTGGCCGACGACAAAGACAGGGTGAGTGATTCCTGGGAAACCTGAAGAACCTGAACCTGAGGGTTTTTTTCTGTTTGAGCATCTCTTATCTGTGTCGCTGCTTTTTTCTTTACACTCATTTCATGTAAAGCTTAAAAACACAAACCGTCCTGTCAGAAGCCTGATGCATCGTCTCCGTTTGTTGCCTCCGGCGCTGTCTGAAGTGTGAAATTAAAGCARCTCACCGACTGATGACCTGAAGGTCGCAGAGTCTCTTTCTGTTATCTTGAACAAAAATAGGCGATCACTGAGAGGACTCAGGAAGGTCAGAGGTCAGCGGTGACACCACAGAACAGAGAGGTTGTTGTCTGTGACTTTTGTGTTTCAGCAATTTAGACTTTTTGAGATTTTTAGCTTTTTCTGCCATTTTCATCTCATTGAAAATGAATGGAGCTGTTTTTAACATCTTTAAAACTCTAAAATGTTTTTAAATATTTAGTTTTTGCTGTTTTAAGTTCTGCTTTTTTAAATTCTTTGTGCTAATTTTAGCAACTTTTTTCTCATTTTAGCTGTTTTCAGCATTTTCAGCTATTTTTCCAACTTATTTTTTAACTTCTTAGTTACTTGAATCATTTTATGCTCCTTTCAGATTCATTCTGTTTTTATTTTATTCTTCCTTTCAGCTTCTTTTTAGTTATTTGTTTTGCTAAATTGTGCCTGATTCAAGCTAAATGAATCTTTTAAYGGTCATTTTTTCAGTTGTTTTKGGCTTAATTCAGCAAACATGCTCCTTCAGTTTTTTTTACTTCAACTTTTTAAGCTACTTTCAGATTTTTTTCAGCTAACTTTGGCTTTTATCAGCTAAATTCACCATTTTGTGATGATTTTAGCTTCTTATTGCTTAATTCAACAAACAAGCTATTTCAAAGATGACCTCTATTGTATATCTTCAGGGTCACAAAATAAAAGGTCAAGGTCACAGTTTAGTTATTTTTCTGCTTGTTTTACCTTTGTTTGTCTAAATTTCAGCTTTATTTTTTTAAGTATTTTGTTCATAATTCACCTTTTTTGGCAGTTTCAACTTTTTTCGGCCGTTAAACAAAATTTTTGCGAATATTTTCTATTTTCTGCTAATTTTAGCAACAATTCTTTTCTTATTTAAGCTGTTTTTTCTAAGTTTTTATTACTTTTGTTTTATACAAAAATCAGCAGTTTAAACTCATTAACAGTTTTGCTATTAAACATTTTCATCTTCAGCATTTTTCAGCAACAATCTTTCAGCATCAAGCGTTCACACTGCATTTTCACAGAGAATGCAAATTCTCTAATTGTCYAGATTTTAAACCATTAAGGCTGCTCAATATTATGAAAACCTGCAATAACAGAGCTTTATATTGCGATGACGATGTGATTTTTTAACATATATATAAAGTATGAAGTGTTTATCTTTCTGCTCTGCAAATTCTTTTATTGCAACATTTTCTCCAAGTGATTTGGGTCCATTTAGTTTATCAAAYGCAAACATCTGAGCCAACCATTTATTGCAGTTTACACAAAGTTTTGTGGTATTTTTATTGCAGTCTGTTACCATGATGACACRTTTTATACATCATGCAGCCCTAATTAGTTGCATAAATGTTGCGATTATAAACCAATAATCAGACTTTATATAGAGCTAGATCAATAGATTATACAACCCTCACCCCTGCATGTGTGTGAGTGCGAAGGAGTTCAACATCATGTCCTTTCACATCCTCCTCCTCTTCCTCGCAGGCCTTTCCCACAGCTGAGAGCTGAGAATGTGACAGCTCGTCAGCCTCACTGACACAGACCTGCAGCTCCAAACCCCTCAGGCCCACAGAGAATGTTTTGGTTCCCAGCAGAAGTTTGAATGTTCATCTTGTTTTCATACAGAGCTCAAATTATGGTAAAAACCAGGTGCAGCTCGTCACCGGACTGGACACCTCGGGGCRGGGGGTTGTGGGGGCTCTGATTTCTCACCTGTGGTCCTGTGGTTGTAGGGTGGTTTTCACTGGTTCAGGTTTGAACTGAGGAGTTCTTTCTTCTGTTCCTGAAAGTCATCCAAACAAATCTATATTATCGTATCGACTTCCACACAAATCGATATATTATCGTATCTTCATCCAAACAAATCGATATATAATAGTATCGTCATCCAAACAAATCGATATATAATAGTATCGTCATCCAAACAAATCGATATATAATTGAATTGTCTTCCACACAAATCGATATATTATCGTATCTTCATCCAAACAAATCAATATATAATCGTACCGTCTTCCACACAAATCGATATATCATCGTATTGTCTTCCAAACAAATCTATATTATCGTATCGTCATCCAAACAAATCTATATTATCATATCGTCATCCAAACAAATCTATATTATCGTATCGTCATCCAAACAAATCTATATTATCGTATCGTCATCCAAACAAATCTATATTATCGTATCGTCATCCAAACAAATCTATATTATCATATCGTCATCCAAACAAATCTATATTATCGTATCGTCATCCAAACAAATCTATATATAATCGTATTGT